ATCTTCAGTTTCTGCACTATCAACCTGCGCTTGTTTCCCTTTCTTGCTGGTATTTGAGGATGATGGTTGTCCAAATTCCTATCAAGACAATATTAATATTGAATCGGGTTGTAATATGTAAGAATAGGCATTGCTTAATTTATTCTGTGAAAGTCATCTTGAAGAAACATAGTTGATGAAGCTTACCCAGCTGTCTGGTGACGGTGAATATGCATTATCCATGTCGGTACAGAAGTGAAGGTATTTAATCAGTACTTTGCGGTTTGCAAAAACTAGATCCACGCATCGTTTATGCTATATTTTATTGTGACGTGATACATTGAACGACATGAACCAATCATACTGTGGGATCAAATGCATGTAATTTGTGTGTGTCACACTTGAGATATCAATAGGATAATAGATAATCAGGAATTGTCCGACGTGTAACATTTCATTCTTTATCGAAATTTGTCTGTCCGACCATTAAAAAAAGGAAATACGCCGCTGTGTAGCACGTTGGATAATATTTAGATTATTCTCCAACAAACGTTAATTTCTATCGTGCATACGCTTGTTGCTAACTGTCTTCTTCAAACACTTCTGTACAGTAGGGAGCATAAGTATCCGACCGCTCCTAGCTTGGGACAGGAACAAGTAAACACTTTGAAAATAAAGTACATAACAGACCATGATTACCTGTAAAATTTCAGCCCGATCGGATGTCTCCGGAAAATTTTCCAAACACTGAAGTTTTTACCTAGATATATCTCGCGATTTTGATCATAAGAATTCGGAAATTCCTATCTCGACACTTTTCTAACTTAATTTTGTAATTCTTTTATTTTATTTTTATGTACTATTAAAAATGCGCTTACCCAATTTTATTAAAAATTACTGTATGATTGCTATTACAAAAAGCAAATAATCATACGACATGATGATATTTATAAATAGTACGCGCGTTTGTTGCCAAGTACAATAACAATTTTTTTCTAATTCAACCATGCATCTCAAGAAAAACGCAGAGATTGATTTAACAAACAAAACAAAAAAAAATTATGCAAATCGATTAGAACATGTGGAGATATTGATTTCTGAAGTTTATGTCGAAATAAACAATGTGCGGTTTTTATATTAATATGGTTTTATATGTTTTTTATATGTTTTAGATGCAAATATTGAATGTTTGAAAACTGGTTTGTTATGCACTTTATGTACGAAAATTTTCAAGTGTTTACTTGTTCCTGTCCCAAGCTAGGAGCGGTCGGATACTTATGCTCCTTACTGTACGTAACAGCAAAGTGGATTAGATATACAGTATCACGCAGTGCATCATTATGTGATTTATTCTTTAATTAACATAACATGTTGGCATCGAATAATTGCCGAAAAAATTCAAGATTAAACGCATTTCATTCTGCCGACGGATAGTCTTTTGTCGACTAGACGCATCAAAGAAGTGAATTCTAAAATATGGATAATGGTTAAATTTTCACACAAAATATCGCAACTTGTTGTGAAAACAATTATAAGGAAACAAGCAAAAGCAAAGAAGATGTTTATTTGGTGCAAAAATACCGCTCTACGTAAAACAAATAAGAGTAAAACATGCTAAGTGTTAGAGCAGCAAATGTTAGTAAAGCAGGTAAATTTCTCTGCATTATGAAGAAAAACTTCAAGCAGCTTTCGATAAAAAACAAGTCATTAGTATAAAATAACTATTTGGTACGAGTTAATTGGTAAGCATTATTATACGATTGCTTATCATGTTTTATATGCATGTTGTCATTGTCACGGGTCTGTATCATAATTACTTCACAGACAGGTTAAGCTATTGACATTTCACTGACAGCTATTTCACGATAAGCGTTTCAAGCCATGTTAACGTAATAACGTCAGTCATGACAAGTTTGGCTGTGGCGAAGAATAAACAAAGTTGAACACCTTAGTGAAATGACTATCAGTAAAACAATTGTCAACGTTACCGATGAGTAACTTGCAAATCTTTCTCTTCCAATTAATACACTGTTTATACTTATGCTGAACTTATCTGTATCGCTTATTACGAAAATTGGAAACCAATTTTTTTTACAAAAAAAAACGATTAGAATTGAGTGGATAATCAATACGGCGAACTGATAAACCGCTTATGTAGTATTCAATCATTATATTTATGTTAGACAATGAGACGACTGTTCTATGTGCACTAAAAATACAATAAGCTTTAATTGACGTTACGAGTATTAACTAACTTTTCACACTAAAACGCACCGTAAAGCCGCTACGCTACAGCTACGAGTCTCCGAAAAAACTCCTCTATCAGAATTTAACTAAATTTTTGAACCACATTTTAAAACCATTGAGAGTAATAGCGTCGTTTTGCATTTAGATATGATCCTTTTTAATGAATGACATCTGAACCCAGCAAACAATGTGTTGATGCATAAACAATATATTTTTTTCACCCACTGACGTTTGAGAGGGTTTAAAAATTGCATTTGCTCGAACAAATCAGTTATAATACTGAATTGTCTTGCGACAGAAGTCTAATTATGCATTAAATCGGGTCTGGTTCATTACCCGATAATAACTTTCCCGACAGCTCACTTTTCCAACAGTTTATTCCCCGGAAATAATTGTCGGGAAAGTTATTATTTGTTATCGGGGAAATAAACGGATCCCATGAAATCCGTGTGTATTAAAGTCGATCGTTGATTTTGCGGGGATGTTGATCAATGCTATTTAAACATTTATTGCAGAACTAGAGTTAGATATCTCATTCTTTGAGTAACAAAGTAAAGTTTGAAAGTCTCGTTATGAATTAAATTATAACTGCCGCAGTTATAATACATACGGTATTACATATACAGTCAGGTTGGAAATTCGAACATTACATCTAATTTCAGTAGCACAAAGTTAAATAGCTCTACCCGTCCATAGCACATGCTTAATCGAATTCTAATTCTTTTATCGTTGAGTTTGTTTAGTGTTTTGTTAATTGTTACAAGAATTATTTTAGATTTGAGGTCTATTGATATGATAACCATTATCAATTACCTCAACTGGAGTAGGAATCAAGGAAAAGTTTTGCGTACCACGATAATTGCAGTACAAGCTGCAAAAAAGACTCACGGTGACTCACGGTCGGGTCTACTACTTTGTCATTGCGTAAAGTTTTTATGAGTAGTTTTGTCGGGCAAATGGACTGGACTCCTTTTCGTTATTTTTAGCAGGTGAATATCTTGTGTGCCCATGCGGGTTTAACATGAACGAAAATAGAATAGACCAGTGCCTAATACTATATGGTCTAGTTCATTACTATCGACGTAGATTTTTACTTTATTTGTTTTACGGTTTGCATTTATTGGTACGTATACAATTAGGTTTCATAACAATAACTCAATTCAGTACTAGGACGTTCTCATCACCGAAGATAAGAAACTAACCACCTAGTTACATAAGAAACCGTGTGACTTATAGTCTAGATGATCGAATTGATTAACTTATTCAATGTGTAACGTTTTAACAAACAATAGTCTAAATTTGGTTTGGATATCTGATTTAGGTAATAAAAAATGGGCTTGTGTACCCGTTCGTCAACCATTCCGATAATTATAGAAGTTCTTTAAGTTCCATTTTCTTCCTCATCAAAAAAGAAATCGAAATGGTGAGCACATCCCAAAGTTTTTTTTCCGGAAAAAAAGTCGATAATATACAGTATTGCCGGCTGTTGACCTCATATTTACTTCCAGCTGCTAACTTGTTGAAGTACTAGCAGAAGCCTATAATCTTTTTTTTTCGCTCTTGGAATGGGAAAGTTTTGACATAGTTATTTATTTCTGTTCGTGCTTAAAAATGGAAGTGGGAAGAAAAAATTGGAAAATGGAATGTATAAGACGAATTATCGTTATAAGCTGTACATTTCTTAATTCAGAAGTTATCGACTTTTAGATAATTACGTATGCAGGGGCGAAGTTCCGTGAAGACTGAAATTTTAAAGTGTACAAAAATTGTGAAAGATCTGTGCATAAATGCTCGGGAAAAGTTGATATGCGATGAACCATCTGAAGTATATTTTTGGCACAATTTAAGGTTTAATTTGTTATACAAACCATTCACATGAGTGTCACTTATAGTCTCTTATATACAACATTGGCACTTGTTTTATAAACTATGCTCAAAGCGGAAAATTTACACACCGACAGTGCGGCACTTTCCTAGCGTTTTGCATATTTGTTAAACAAACCTTTCTGATATTTAGAAAACATAAGCCATTTATTATATTCGGCCCGATTATTGTTAACAAAGACTCTAATAACGATAATTTATTGCTAAAATGCTAATACATCTAAATCTGTTTTATCTTTTAGTAAAGTTCTACCAATTTATCGATGCTTTAAATATTTGAATTTTAGTACTCAAATCGATTTGTGTTACATGTCAAATTACATAATCTAGGCGAATAATTTATCCGATATTCACATGCCTGATGCTTCGGTGTATAATAAATAATTTAGTTATATATAATTACTTAAAATTTTAGTAATCAAATTTATTAAACAAAAACCTGACTACTTTTTAAAATATTATAGTTTGCAAAACGCAATGTTATTTATGAATCGAATGTTCCAAATAAAGTAACAAACTAGAAAAGCTTCCTACTATTTAAATGTATTCCCCGTTTCGTAAGTCACATGAATGCTACATCTCAAGGAAAGTTACTTTTTTGGGTAAACATATATATGCTATTTTATCTGGAATACAGTATATCTAACAATTATAACATCGCGTACTTGTCACATTCATAATAAATATATATAGCAATAGTCAAACATGGAATACATTCAGGGGTGTCGCCAGAAAAACACATATAAGCATCGTGAAAAATAAAGAAAGTAAAGACAACTTTACTAAAAAAAAAGTATCAAAAAAAAACTTTTAACAAAAAATTTTTGATAAATTATCGTTAATAACACCGACTAATAAGCCAAATTGTTGTGCTTCTATATTCAAATACCATGTCTACCTCTTCAAAGACTCTACATTATTCTACTGATCTTACTTTAATTGAACGCAGTCTCCTAAGTAATCCACCTTATACTCTCACTATTCCTCCTGATTCTCTCACTGATCCAAAACGTGGACAAAGTAGTAACAAAAATTTAAAGCCTCCCCGGCCGTCTAATCCATGGATCCTTTTTCGCACAAATTTTACAAGCATGTTACGAACTCAATATCCGTACAGCATTCAAGATATTTCTAGGATGGCTTCTAAAGATTGGAAAAGTCAGCCAATTTTAGTCAAACAGTACTTCAACGCACTCGCTAAAGTGGCTTTGCTTCGTCATAAAGAAACGTATTCCGGCTACATTTACAGACCAAGACCAAAGCAAAGCAAAAAGAAAAATAATTGGGTATTTAAAGAAGTGGACAGAAATAGATTTGGAATTGATAAAAACAACAGAACCGAGAAACAAAGAAATAACTCTTCTCAAATAGACAAACAATTCCACGGTTTCGACAGCTATGATCAACAAAGCGAATATGAACAGCACCAAAATCCAATCGAATATTTTTCAAGTAATTATGTTGAGCAAATTAAACAAGAAAATTTTCGACTCAGCGAATGTAAGCCTGTTGACTATGATCAACCAATCGAATATAGACAACTTCCAATTTCGGACGACCACGCTCAATTGATTGAATCTGATCAACTGAATGGATATATGCACGTTGAAGCATCGGCTTTGTCGAGCAAATTTTTTCAGTTAAACGAAGACAACCATGTTGTTGGATACAGTCAAATATGCGAAGAGACTCCATCAAATGGATATTATGAACTAGTTTCATACGATAACATTTACTCCGATAGCAACAACGGTTTTACTAACAGTGACGCAACTAATATCGACGATATGTCCAGCTCTGGCTATTCTTTGTACGGTAATATTGATACGTCGGCTGTTTATTTTGGTGAACAATTTTTTAAAGAAAGTAACACGGATTGGCTTAAAACCCCGCTGTTTTACTACACGAACGAACAGTTAGTCGATTTTTTACCAATTCCAAACGAATAATTGCTCGTTTGTTTTTAATTATATAAGTTTTTTCTTCTGTCCTAATAACAGTCAAACAAAAAATTGTTTTAAGATTTTTCAAATATTCACCGTAGTTAAGTTAAAATTGTAATAAGTTTAATATTAATGTAAGAGTTATCATTGTGATATCGAGTATATGGTGTGTATAATAGAAGTTAACATGTGTTGAGAAAGTACATTAACGTAGCGTTGTCGTAGGAAACGTACAATGCTGCAAGATTAAAGAGTATATAATACCAATAAGACCAAATAGTATGCTGAAACGTTTGTTGTATGATTTTACAAAAGTAGGGCAGTGAATAAAATATGGGTTACGTATACTAGACTTGTTATTATACAAATGATGAGCCTATCGGAATGTGATATTAATATTCTCGCAGTGATTATGCGATAACCAGATTCTCACGAAACCCGCGTGATATTGATCTGCATAATGGGCACCAATAAAAAATGCAAGCATTACGTTAGTCTAGATTTGAATGCATACTACAAAATCAATTAGATCTGAAAAACGATCAAGCGTGTATTGCAATGGTGTTCGGATAAATAGTAGATAACCATAACATGTACTTAAATATTAACACAATGTTGTCAATATCAAATTTCCAACTTTGTCATCGACGTTTATCATTGATTATTAACAATTTGCTTATTACAGAAATATAAAAAGTCTTTAATGTTTTTTTAAATTTCTTCTCTACGAAAGAATTAAACCTTCGGTGTTTGATGTCCGTGCCAATCATTTGATAAACTTTGTATCTTCGGTAAAACTTTTCTTCCATCAAATATGCCTCCTTGTAAACAATTATATTCTATCGTTATTGGTTACTTTACATTTTTAATTTTATACCCCTTTCCAAAATGTGTTAATTGACAGATCAACCAACAACGTAAGAATAGCACACTCCTGCCTCGATCATTACCATATACTTACCTAAGTGCAGATATCACAAGTTGCAACTCTTAGGTAATGACATTGTATTGTTTGAAACATCTTTTTTAATACTATCGCATATTGATGTATGTAAATCGTAATTTTTGAAGCTAATGGGGCGCGCAGCTACAATCTTTATGTTACACACACAACACAAATCTCCCCGCAACATTTGTGTTGTACATGATTTTCATGCATTAGCACCCTTATACTTTTAGCCGGACAGTCGGGTGCACAACTTCTGCAACTTTTGTCTGACAATATCCTTTTTCTG